GCCCCCTCCCAGCGCTGGGTGGGGGTCAGGGGCCGTCTCAAAGGAGGGGGTTAGAAGGGGCTCGTTTCCCCTCCCCCTCCAGGAAGAAGGAAGGGGGCAGCTTTTGGCCCTGCCACGTGGTGTGAGGGGTATTGGGAGGCAGTGAGCGGGTTGAAGGGGGGGAAACCGCACTGCTCCATCCTTCCAGTCATAGGAAGTGCAGGTGGCAGGGACCTGCGGGGGTCACATCTGGCCCATCTGCATCACCCCCGACAAAGCTTTGCGCACCCGGGTCTTAAAAATTTCCGAGGATGGAGGTCGCACCACCCCTCTGAGGAGCCTCCTCGCTGCACCACCCTCCTCGCCAGAGAGGTTTTCCTAACATCCAACCTCCACTTCCCTCGCTGCAGCTGAAGCCGGTTGCTCCTCGTTATGTCGGACCCTGGTTTAGTGTCGTCAGCGATAGGATTTTCTCCGTCTGCTTCGCTCTGGGTCGCTCAAATCAGGAAAAGCCGGATGAAGTTTTGACGGGCGCTCGTGGTTTATAGGGACCTGAACAGATCATCGGGTCCGACCCCCTGCCCCGGCAGGAACGAGCGCTCGTGATGAACGTGGTCCGTCCCCAGCTGGACAGCGCTTTCAGCGTTTTAAGTGCTGTATCGCTACCTTTAGGTCCACGCATTAGGGAAGAAGCGCTGCCGTGATGATGTAATTTGCGACGTATCCAGTGCTCGGCGACAGTGGCCTGCTGTCGGCGCGCCGGCACTGCTGAGCTGAAGACCGTTTGATTCTGAGCAGCGCTCGTTACGTTTCCGGGTGGGAAGCGTCCCGTTGACTTGCGCTGAGGAAAACTCTGTTTTGTTTTGTTTTGTTTTTCAGGCTTGTGCTCGACCATTAATATCGATCTACTCCGAAAAGGGGGAGACATCAGGCAAAAATGTCACCATGCCTGCTGTCTTCAAGGCTCCCATTCGCCCGGATATTGTGAACTTCGTTCACACCAATTTGCGCAAGAACAACAGGCAGCCTTACGCCGTGAGTGAACTTGCAGGTATGACTTGGTGTGTAGCGCATCAAACTGGAGTGGGTCTGTTAGGTTTGGATCGACTCTTGATTACTTGTAATGGTGTAACTGGCCTGTCTGTAAGATCTTAGTTTCATAGAAGTAGGGTCGGAGGGGACCTGAGCATATCATCTAATCCGACCCCCTGATGTCTTCTTGCCATTCAGTCCTTGGGGCTTGTCCCATCTGTCGACATAAGACCATTCAGATCAGTCATAAATTTCAACTCGCTGACTCTTAAAATATTTTCATGCCAACTAAAACTGAAGAGCAAATGCACTTCAAATTGAGTTAAATATATACATGCAATAAAACATTTAGGTATTTATCTTTTGCCCAAAATGACACAGGCACTTTCTAAAAGCGGTAGTTTAAAAAAAAAAAAAGAATTGGAAACGCATGCTACAGAAATGACTGTAAGTAATTAAACATGCACGGGGTGGTTCTGGCTGAGCAGGATCAACAGATCTACCATGAAAAGGCCTGGGGAACATGGAATTGCCATCAGTGCCACAACTTGATATCTAACCTGAAGGACACAGCCAGAGGTTTGGTCCTAGCGTGCGCTTCTTGGTATGAGTCTGTTTATTAAACTGAAAACCAACTCACTTCAGAAATGAGGTGTGGTGCCAGCACGGGGTACCAGACCAGGGCACATAAATGATGAGGTTCCACTTCATTGGTCCGTGTTTCTGAACTACATGATATCAGTGGAAGTTCTGATTGTCCATTCTGAATTCTGTATTTTTCTTAGGCAGGAAAGTTGTATTGTTTCACACTGTTGAGTTTCATATCTCTTTACTGTTCCAGGTCATCAGACCAGTGCTGAATCTTGGGGTACTGGGAGAGCTGTTGCTCGTATTCCCCGAGTACGAGGTGGTGGAACTCACCGTTCTGGCCAAGGTGCTTTTGGGAATGTATCCTTTTTCTGGCTGCCTCTCCCAAGTAGTTATACAATATATCTCTGAGAAGAAGCTGAAGGAGTTAGTTTGGAGATTCTTCCCCTTTAAGGTAATAGTAGCATGCTATAGTTTAGGCTCTAGAAACTCTTCTTGAGCCTGTAATGTGAAGAATAGCATTTCCTGTGCGAGTTCAAAGCTTTTATGCTTTATTTAAATAAACAGAAACATTCACTGATTGCCACGAATGAAGATTTGACTTGCACGTTTTGAGACCGGAATGCACTATTTTCACTTGCCGTGATGTCGTAATTTGCGTCTTACTCTGTATTCAGTGACAGTTGCCTGCTGTCGGTGAGCTGGTACAGATGGCTGACGAACAATTGATGCTGAGCAAGGCTTCAAAAAGATCTTGACCTGCAAGTAAAGTTTGGAATATTTTCTTCTTAACCATAGCTGTATAGATGTGCCGTGGGGGCCGTATGTTTGCCCCAACCAAGACTTGGCGGCGTTGGCATCGTAGGGTTAATACAACCCAAAAACGCTATGCCATCTGTTCTGCTCTAGCAGCTTCAGCCCTTCCAGCTCTGGTCTTGTCTAAAGGTAGGTATTTTGAGTACTCCAAAACGTTGGTTTTATCATGAATAACATTCTAGCTGTGGAGCAGTCTAGGTTTTGCCCTGGTAGTTCAGGATAGCGAGCTACTGAAATAGCAGTCTTGTGTCACATTCCAATTCTCCACCATGACTTCTGTTTGTATTGGAGGGTGAGAGTTGAGGTGGAGCTACCCTCAGCCTTGGAAGTGTTCCTTATATGTATAGTTGCAGGCACATTAGTGGAATTATGTGGAGAAGCCAGCATGGACCTGCTCATTGCACAAATAATTGTATATTTATTTTAAAATAAATTATCTCCTGGGTGAAAGCAATAAGTAACTTAAAATCTATTTTCAAAATCCTAATCAGGACACCGTATTGAGGAGATCCCAGAACTTCCTCTGGTAGTTGAGGACAAAGTGGAAAACTACAAGAAAACCAAGGAAGCTGTTCTGCTTCTTAAGAAGCTTAAAGCATGGAATGACATCAAAAAGGTGAGTTTGTCAGTCAATTCAAGTACTTTGTTAAAAGAGCTTTTAGAAATTACCATTAAAGTACTGCTGATATGGGGTACAGGTTCCAAACTGTTTGGTAAATGTCACTGCAAAGTACGTACTAGGTCAGGGGTGGGCAAAATGCGGCCCGTGGGCCAGATGCGGCCCGCCAGGCCATTCTGTCTGGCCTGTGGGATCCCTAAAAAATCTAGAAAATTAATATTTATCTGCCCCTGTCTGCTTGTCATATGGCCCTTGATGACTTGCCAAAACTCAGTAAGCAGCCCTCCGCCCAAAATAATTGCCCGCCCCTGCACTAGGTTGTACACACAGAACTGTAGGCCATGAAAAGCATATTTGTTACTCTCGATTTACTTGTTCACATTACCATTTACTTGACCAAACTGAAGAATGATGAACCTTTCACTGGTCCGTGTTTCAGATGAACTGTGATGACGGTGAAGTTCTGACCTTTTGTAGCTGACGTTCAGTCGTGTTTAGGAATCGCAGTGGCTGGATTTAACGTATTTGTTTTTCCGTAGGTCTATGCCTCTCAGCGTATGCGTGCTGGAAAGGGTAAAATGAGGAATCGCCGTCGCATCCAGCGCAGGGGACCCTGCATCATTTACAATGAGGACAACGGTATCATCAAGGCATTCAGAAATATTCCAGGTAACTCTGAATTCCAAAACAAAGGGCCAGTTACCTCTTGGCAGGAGCTCTGCTCTACTCTAGAGCACTTGAATGATGAGATTCCACTTCATTGGTCCGTGTTTCTGAAACGCATGATTTTGTGGAAGTTCTGACTATTGGTCTAGTTGAGTGGTAGAGCATTGTTTTTAAAAATCTGCTTCAACAAGGATGTCATGTTAACGAACTAATTGTCACATGGAGCGGTGAGACAACTTGTTACTGTTCTGTCTTCCGCTCTTGTGAATATCCTAGAAAAACTTAACTTGGAGATTTTGTGTGTGGGATGTCTTGGTAATACCGTGCGTAAGTCGCTGTAGAAATAAAGATTTTAAAGCTAGTACACTCAGGCTAGATCTTTTTGATCCAAACATCCAGTTTTTGCCGTTGTGTTTAAAGTAAAATGTCAGTGCTGTGCTTCTGCCTTTTTTATAGGAATTACTCTTCTCAATGTGAACAAGCTGAATCTGTTGAGACTTGCTCCAGGTGGGCATGTTGGGCGTTTCTGCATTTGGACTGAAAGTGCCTTCCGCAAACTGGATGATTTGTATGGTACCTGGCGCAAACCCGCTAGCCTGAAGAGTAACTATAAGTGAGTATATCTGGAATCTGATCTGGGTAGAATTGACTTTAAAAATGGTATTGTGCTAGCCAACACCATGCATCTCCTAATAAAGGATTTTCCTCAGAATGTACGTTTCCTAGATGGCTATTTTTGTCAGACCAGTAGCTATGGGCATTTTCCATGTACTGTCCAACTTGTGACTGTAAATGTTTGTTTGCAGCCTGCCGATGCATAAAATGACCAATACTGACCTTGGAAGAATCCTGAAGAGCCAAGAGATCCAGAGAGCCCTGCGTGCACCAAAGTAATCATTATTTATTCTCACGGTCAAGTAGATGAACTTTTGTTTCGACATTTTCATTCCACTCTTGGGATATAGACGTAACCTGAGAGCAGCCCTTCAATTCCTTGGTTTAATTTGGTTAATTAAAGGGCCAATGGCAAGGAATTCCAGGTCCCAAACAAAAATTAGCTTTAAAATGTACCTTTATGGTACAGTTTTCCAGTGTTTGGTCTTGATTCACACTTTCTGTGGTATATGCAGTGCATTAGTTAACCTGTAGCCTTATGCTACTGTATGGGAATTGGGGGAATGGAAAACCACTCCTACGTATTTCCAAACTGAAAGAAATATGAAAAGTAAGCACATTTAAAGCAATGTTTTAGTAAAGTGGTAGATGCAGAAAAGGGTGGGGGGGGGGTTTAAAGTGATAAAATTGATATAAAATGCCTAACAGTTGGCATTTTCCACCTCGTATGCTGATTTGAGGGGCCTTTTTTCCACAGCAAAAAGATTCACCGTAGGGTCCTCAAGAAAAATCCACTGAAGAACTTGAGAGTCATGATAAAATTGAACCCGTATGCCAAGACACTGCGACGCAATACTATGCTGCGCCATGCTCAAAACGTGAGTGCAACTCAAAATCAGTGTTGTATAATGCAAATGGTAAACACTCTGCATGGTCCTGATATCTGGTTTGATTCTTTTTCACAGCGTAAACTCAAGGAGGAGAAAAAAGCAAAAGTAAATGCAAAGGCTGCAGAATAAGCCTTACCCAGTTTCATCCAGCTGTCGTCCAGAAGCCACCTGATAGATTTACTACAAATAAAAACAAATCTATTAAGATACTGGAATGTTGTGAAGTTATTTAACAGTACTAAACACGCTTTGGGGGTGGGGAAAGAGATTCACTGACCATGGAAAGCACTTAACATAAATGCAAGATTGTCTTGTACCGCACAATCAGCGTGCAATTGGGAAAAGTGTAAATACAGGAGACCCTCACCATTCGCAGGGTCCATTCTGGAGATCCCCACAAATGATGAAATCCGTGAACACTGACGGGACTCCTCATCAGACCCCACAGCCGCCCCCTGCCTCTGTGAGAAGCTGGAAGTGTGGGACTCCCCCACAGCACCTGGAGACTGACTGCGGCTGCTTCTGAGGGAGAAGATGCTGCTCTCACCACCACCTCCCCATCCCTGGCACTCGCTCTCCACCTGCCTGGCTCTGCCCTGCCCTGCAGTCCATGCCTGCTTATGCAAAGGCAGGAGCTCGGTGCAGTGCCACAGGGAGCTATGGCGGCATTTGCCCCAACCCACCCTGTTGGTGTACTGTGAATATTCAAATCCACGAACAGCAAAGGGGGTGGGGGGGGGTTGCGTGTACCCTGGGGACAGGTGGCAGCAGCAGCATCTCCCCCAGAAATATATATATTTCATTAAAACTGCAATGTTAGGTAAACTACATTAAAAAATGGGGCCTGAAATCGGTGAGAATTAAATTGTTCTGTATTATTTGTGCAAAAGCCTTTGATCTTGACTGGAACCCATAGTGTCAGGGTAATAAAATTCCTACTGTAGGAAAGACCTGGAGAAGTATACATCTCTAACACAGCGGTTCTCAACCCTTTATGTACCAGGACCCATTTGTAAACATCACTCCTGACCCACTGCCCGCAAGCCAAGTTTGTTCACAACCCTTTCATATATTCTTGCAACACTTTTGGGTTGAGAAATGCTGCTCTATTGCGTTCAGAGCACCATATGCAAGTCACAGCTCAGCATTAGGAATCCAAAGCTGAGGCTGTTGTTGCCAATATTGTCCACATCCCTCCACTTTCTACGAGAATCTCACTCCCTGACCACAGTGCACATTTAGTTCAAGCCTGGAATATGTGCAAATATTTCCTCAGTGGACAACTAATTCACTGGAAAAGGAAGTATGCAGCTCAGAACAAGTGCTTGTCTTTTCAGCAATGCCAAGACTCACTCCCCCCCCCCAGCCCCAAATAACCTCAAGCAGTAGAAGTATTAATGGCTTGTTTCAACTTTTTGTGGGCCCCCCATTCCCAAATGTCAGGAAGGAATGAATACATAAAGCAGGACTGGCAGTTACCAATGGAAATTGAGGTGATGTCCATGAGTTTAAGCAACTCTAGAAGTAAGCGGCTGAGATCTGAAAACGGTGTGAAGCAAACGCACCCAGACGAGGGGGGTTTTGTGAGGGGTGCGGTGGTTTGAAGAGCTGTGCAAGGAGCCACGAGGGGGCAGCTGGAAACCCCTGCCCTTGCCCCACTGCTGTGGGAAACGGAGGTTTGGGAGTTTTGCTCCTCATTCTTGGTGCTAAATTTCAGTCATTTGGCAACTCGATAGAGGTGCTTATGCAAATGTGCAAACATAAAGCAACTAGCGAAGACTTAGGGGCATAGTCTGCCCCTTTACAAGGGCAGCCTTTTTACCCTCTTATAAAACAGTAAATTCTAAGGTGGTCGTAAAATGGCAAAAACCCATCTGATAGAGCAACGCGGAAGAGGACGTGCTCCGTGCGGTCTTCCTGCCTGTTTCCCCCGCGGGGGAGTGCCCCTTCCTCCCCGCACCTGCAAGCCCCTCGCCGCCCCTTCCTCCCCTTTCTTCGCCCTGCTGTTATTTCCCCCTCTCCCAGCACAATTACTAGAAGCCCGGCGCCCTCCCGGCCGAGATTAACACAGCGGAGCGGGGCACAGGTCTGCGAGGCGCACGTGCAGCCCCTCCGGGCACTTCCGCCCGCACGCAAGATGGCGCCGGCGCGCGGTCACGTGCCCTGCGCACACGTCATCGGGGTGGGCCGGGCGGAAGCGGCGAGGGGCCGGGGCCGGGGCCGG